TTATGGGTGTGGTACCTGGATTATTCCACTGATTGGTTTTAGCAGAGCTCTGGGTGTGGATAATACAAAGCCCATCCTGGGTGTGGGTGGCACCACCCAATAGGCTTGTACCCTGGGTGAAATAAAAAGGGAAAGAAGGAAGGAAGGCTGCTTCTTCCTGCTTCCTTCCTGCCACACCATGAACTGTTTCTCCTCTGCTCTGACCCTCTACCATGCTGCCCTTCCCAGAAGCCAGCTGACTACAAACTGTGAGCTAAAATAAACCTTTCCTCCTCTAACTTGCGGGTGTCAGGTATTTTGTCTCAGCAATGAGAAAGTAACTAAGACTATCTTAGTGTTGTGAGCATCCTCCAGAAACTTTTTTTTTCAACCAATTCATGTACTAAAGGTCTGATTTGCAAAGCAGAAAAAGATCCTTAGGACCCAGTAGCAGAAGCACTGGATTTGTTTTGGAAGTGCCACCGAGCCACTTTCTGGAGTCTGGCCTATAAGATGCTAAAGGAATCTAGACCCTAATCAGATTCCTTTTAGAAAAGAAGCAGAGCTCAAGACTATACAAGTATTCTACCTTACTTTTCCCCTTTTTCCTGTATCCTTCATCAGTTTCTTTCTAGTCTATAATGATGCTGTTTGGACGTCTGTAGTGCTGTGTGGTCATTGCTTACTCATAAGTGAAGAGCTGTGAGGCAGCACATTTGAGCGAGCGCTATCAGCCCTGGATTTACCTCCCTCCTCTCCCCTCTCCTCTCCACTCTCTTGATTATCTAAGCATTTTATATTCCATGTAGCTTGTCTGGCTGGTTTAAACAGTGGCTTACAATTTCTTAAAGGAGGCCCTTCCTTCCAACAAATTCTTTCATATTTTTCCCCAACAAATTATTTCATGAGACCTCAGTAGATAACAGAGGAATATAGAGCAGGACCCATTGCCACAGTGGAAGCAGGATATTTCCTCCTGGTGTTTCCTCGGGGGGAGGGGGGCCTTCACTTGTGCTGGTTCTCAGCCCTGGCTTTATATTATAATCACCTGGGGAGCTTTCCCAACCCAGACCCAGCCTGCCCCTCAAACCAGGCCAATTTAATCTAAACTTCTAGGTTTTCCACCCAAAGAGCAAGGTTTTCCAAGCAGTGGTCCCAGGAGTAGCAAGCCCACCTGATCTGATGGCAACTGCATTTCTTATACAGCTTCAGGTAAGGAAGAAAGGAGAACATTTTATTTTTGCTACCTGAAACCTGTTTCCATACCCCAGCTGATTCCAAACTGAGGCAGAAACTAGAGAAAATAGCTTCTGAGGCCTCAGCTTTCCTCTACCTCATCCTGCAGAAAAGTCCCAGGGACATTCCTAGAAGGCTTAAAATCCCTTGGAAGTCAGAGAAGAGATGTGAAGAGAATTTTGGAGCTGGAGCATTCTACTTACTCTCTTTGTGCTCAGGTTTCTTCCTCTATAAAATGGGGATAACAAGAATAACACTATTTCATTAGGATGTGGTGAGGCATGTGCATTTCTATAAATATGAAGCCCTTAGTGTGTGCCAGGCACACTCAGTTGAGTGTGAGCTAGTGTAATAAACTGAAGTGGTCCTCTGCCAAGACCCAAAGCCTACTTGTGGAAATGCAAACCAAAGTAATTGTGGGTGTCAGGTGTTGTGTCTCAACAACAGGAAAACTGGCATCAAAAGTGGGGGTGTTACATGTGACTATACATGACCATGTTACTTCAAAGACTTTGGAACTAGTTTATAGGAGGTATTTGGAAAAGTTTGGAGAAAGCCAGGTGTGGTAGCGCACACCTGTAATTCTAGCACTCAGGAGGCTGAGGCAAGAGGGGAGAGCAAGAGCAGTTTGGGCTACATAGTGAGTTCAGTGCCATCCTGGAATACACAGCAATATCGTGTCAAACAAATGGCTGGAGAAGCCCTGGAAAGCTATATGCTTGGTAAGTGGTTCTAGTCAGAGTTCAGAGGACCAGAATGCTGATAGGAATCATACAGTAAAGGCCAGGCTCATGAGGTTTCAGTAGGGAACAAGGACTTTCCTTGGCTGACTGGAATAGAGGTGATGTGTGTTACACTCTTGCAAAAAATTTGCCTATGTTTTGTCCAAATCTGCTGGAGAATGAGGTTAAGTGTGGTAGATTAATTTTGTGGAGCAAATTCAAAGGCAGCCCAACATTCAGACTGTGCCACAGGTACTTTTGGCTGATTTTAATTAGATTTATAGTGACAATTGGAGGCAAAAACACAGCAGAAAAATTTTGAAAAACATAAATTTTCACCCATAAAGAACCATATGTAAAATTGGGGCCAAAGTAGTTGTGGCTGCTAAATAGATTAGCACCATTAAAAAGAAGCCAAGTATTTTGTTTAGGGATAAGAAGAAAAATACCTTGAGGATCTCTCAGAAATTAGCAAAACCCTGCCCACTGCAGACTCACTGGTGCAAGAATGCAAACTTTTCATTTGAGAAAAGTCTCTATGGAAACACTGCTTAAGAAAAATCTAGAGAATTGGTGCCCTAGGACTCATTTATTGTGGTCAGCCATCCAGGCACAGAGAGGCCACTGCAGCCATGGGCCAAGGTGGTCTTGGTACTACTGTAGCAGACGAGAGACCATGGCATCATCCATGTGTTGCTGGTTTTACCAGTAGAAAAATACAAGAGTTGTGGGGCCAGGGAGAGACCATGGCATCATATATGTGTTGCTGGTTTTACCAGTATACAAAATACAAGAGTTGTGGGGCCAGGGAGGTTTTCACCCAGATTTCAAAAGAAGGTTGGGAAACCAGGCAAGGAGCCCCTGAGAGGTCAATGTGTGAACCTGTGGGAATAAAGCTAAAGGTACAGTGGAGACCCCAGGAAGATGGACAATGCCAGGAACATGGAATGTCTGCTAAGGAAAGCTGTAGGCCATGAGTGGATCCAACCCAAAGAGAGGCCATATGGGTGGTGGCCAGGAAGTATTAGATTTCCCTTGCCTTAAGATGGCTGCCACATGGAATAGCAGCCTCCTTCCCATAATGCCACATTAAAATATGGCTTCTTCCACCAAAGGACAGTCTTCTTCCCAACATGTCCCTTTTCCCACCCAGAAATGTAACCCAATACTTGCCACCTCCTAGCAACTAATGATGTCACAAGCCCCTCCTGGTGATATCACAGGTTCCTCCAATCCTTTAATACTACCTCACTCAACTCCACCCCAGCTCAGGCTAACCCCACCCTGCTCCTATAAAAGAAGCTCCTTGTTCTGCCATGTTGCTTTCTCTCCTTTGTTCAGAGACAGCCTGGCAGATCCTCCCCATAATAAAGGTTTGTTATGGTCCTGGTCTGGTCCTGGTTTTTGGCTCTTTTCACCTAACAGGAAAGTCATACGACTGGGACTACCCAAGCCCTTTGTAACTCACATTTCACCACTTTGTACCCAAGATGCTGGATACAAAGATACAGGACTTAATGTTTTCCCTTGCTGGGTTTCAGTCTTGCTTGGGTCTCATTATTTTCTATCCCACTTTTCCTCCCTTTTGCATTGGTAATATATACCATGTGCCATTGTACCTTGGAAATTATATAACTTGTTTTTTATTTTTACAGAGGTTTATAGCTAAGAGTTTACCTTGAGTCTCAGAGAGCCTTTGACTTGGACTTTTGAAAAATCCTGGAACTGTTGAGACTCTGGAGGAGGGATTATTGCATTTTTGATGAACACAAGATGTTAGGTGCAATTATTCCACGTGTTTATTTGGGTATTAAATATGATGTAAGGTGGTATTTTTGTGTGTGAAATTCACAGAGGTGAGATGTGATGGTTAAGCTTCATTGTGTCACCTTGATTGGCATGGTAGCCACCCAGGGGGTTGGTGGAGTATACTTCCTGGGCATGTTTGGGTAGGTCACAGAGGCATGGCTTTGGGTAGAATATTTGGTCCCTTGTCCCTTCCTCTCTGGTATTGCTCCCCTGCTCAGTTTTCTGGCAGCCATGAACTAATATTTTTGCTCCACTGTGCCTTTTTTGCCATGGTATTACTGTTTTGGAGTCAGCCAACCATGAACTGAATCTTCTGAATCCGTGAGGTAAATCAGACTTCTTTTAAGTTGTGGGCATTGAGTATTTTGTCCAAGCAGTAGGAAAGCTGACAAATACACTCTTTATCCACTCCGTGTCTCAAGGGCCCAAGTTCTCACTCTTGGTATAATGGAACTCGGAACTATAGATACTAAAGCCAGATCAACCCCTAAGGAGAGGCACCCATCAGGCTCAGGCACAAAACCTAGGCAGTTGGGATCAGGTGTTTGAGAAGCTGGCTGAGAGGCAGTACAAACACCCACTTTAGGATAAGAAAGGAGAGAGCTCAAGCCTTAAAGAGCTGGTCACATCTGCGGAGACTTCTTATCCCTCTGAGTTGGTCTCAAGGGTTATCCTGGGAATGATTGTCCATCTTGAGTTCTCCCAAAAACATCCCTTCCTACTGCCATGGCGATGACCTCTATTTAAAACTAGATTCAGTGCTCACCATTGTTTCAAGCTATCCTCTGCTTCCTTGGGGAGTAAAGTGTGTGTCACTGTTTAGAAACTACCTCATCTCCTGGGAGGTTGTTTTAAGTGTGTGCTCACACCCTTCCCCAGATCTCCTGAGTCAGAATCTGCATTTTAACAGGTTCTCCACCGGATCCATTATGCATGGAAGTATGAGAAGCCTGTTCCAGTTTTCTCCTGGGGCCCCAAAGTGCCATAAAATGTCTAGGGACTGAGCTGGAGTTCCATACGTGCTGTTAACTCACAAATGATTTATGGCAGCTGGGGATGGGGAGGCTGGAGACATGGTAGGCACTCAGCATGGTATCCCATACTTTTGTATAATAGAGAAGTCCAGAGCACCAAGAAACAGGGCATTTTGATGTGCTGCTGAGAAAGTGATGATGGTGGATTGGCTGTGCAGCATGGCTTGGAGACAGAAGCCTGTTCCCAGTGGAAGAACAGTCTGCATTTCCTGTGTCTTACCTCGTTCAACTTTTCAGGACTGAAAACAGAAGTCAGGACACCTCTGACTTCTTCCCATCGTTTGTCACGCAAGCAGAGAATGCTGTTGGCTACTGGCTTGGGCTCCAAACCCGATGTCTGATGGAAAGAAACAAGCAAAGGGTCAGGACACAGGGAGCCAAAGCCACCTGGGTGGCAATACAAATTCATGATAAACACCCTGGTTAAAGTCCACCAATGAGTGTAACACAGATTTCTCTCACAAGGACACAGAAGACCACAGATGCCCATGGGTGATGACCTAAGATTCACAGCAGAGGCACAGGTGGAGCAGATGGTCGTGCTCTGCTGGCCTGGTTCTGCCCTGTCATAGTGTGGTCATCACCATGGAAACAATTCAGAGGCCCCTGTGTACTGAGCAGCCACACCCCAGAGTGAGGGTCCTCTTAGGACAAATGAGGCAGGCTTCCTGGAGATGGTGTCTGTCGTGGGATAGAGGTTCACGTCTGAACTTGTAGCGAGGCGTTCCATGGACTGGCTGGTTTGGGCCCAGAGTTGGCAGACTGAAGCGTACAGGTCTTTAGACGTGGGTGACAGGACAGGGGAGGTGAGAATGGAGAGACTTCCAGTAGTATGTCCCAGAGACAGAAGGCGGCCACCCACAAGGCAAGGGGAGAGGCCACAGGCAATACCAACCCTACCACCCCTCATCTCAGACTTCCAGCCTCCAGAACTGTGACACAGTAGATTTTTATTGAGTAAGTCCCCAAGCTTGCGCTACACTGTGAGGGCAGCCCTTAGTAACCTCAGACTAGGTCTGGGAAGTTGGTTATAAAATCTTGAATGAAAGGAGTTTGCTTTGGCCTCATGGGGTTAGCAGTCGAGTGGGAAAGCAGAGAATAAACTCATAAATTAGATGTCACTGATTTTGAGAAAGCAACATTATGAAGAGAAAGAGGGTGTGGTGGGCACAGTGAAGGACGCCATGGTCAGGGAGCATCTCCAAGGGGGCTCCGTCGAGGCTGAGCCTGGGAACACGCCAAGGAGCCAGCACTCTCATCCTGCCTTCTTCCCAGGACATTCTACCCCTTTCTAAAACCAGTTCTCCCTCCAAGTGGTCACGAATGGAGCCCACACTGCATTACAGTGACCCCCAGCCTCAGGGCCACAGGGCTTGTGGCGGCAGGAAGGTTGCAGAACCAAGCCCTCATCAGAGCCATGTGTGATGATGGTTGCACTATTTCTTTTCACTGTTTTAATTATAGCTGAAACATGAAGCCAGCCATCATAATTCAAAAGCCTTGTAAAAACTCCTATTTAGAGGAAAATTATAATTTTCTGATAAAATATGAACACTCAAAATAAGCCATAAAATATAACTGCAAAGTAATTATATATTAGAACTAAGTTTCTGGGATATTTTTCTGCAGAGGAATACCTCTCTATATTTAGAATGAAATGCTTTAGGAGTGCGTGGCCACTAAATTATGGTTTCATGGATTTTTGGAACATAATCTGTTTGTTTAGGTTCCAGAGTCAAAGGAGGAAATCATACATTATGTGTATTTATAGAGTGGCAGAGCCCGGTCCTGTGCCACACTGCAAAGACATTTCAGTGGGGGGAAAGCAGAAGAAAGGTTTATGTGGTTTTGAAGAGACAGAATAAATTAGAGATAAGAATTAAGATGGATTGGATTTGGATCCATCCTCAGTACCTGAGGACTGGATGTATTTTAATCTTGCACCTGAAGGACAAATCTCATCCTCTTCCGTACATCATCACAACCCTCAGGCATCTCTCCACCCACCTGCCATGACGCCCACCCCCCTTACCCTAGAAGCTCTGTTAGAATGTCCCATTTGGGGAGGGGGCAAAGTCTGAAGGCTATGGCCATGGCATGTCTTTTTTCTAGATGTTGCACTATAAGAAGAGCAGCAATTTGGTTATTTCAAAAGAACTATGAGTTGGTGAAATAACATTAAATAATGCAATATATGGAAAAGTCATTAGATTTTAGGATATTTAACTGAAAAAGAGAACATTTGGAAGATTAGACAGCAGTACTTAGTGGTACTGTACTCAATAAACATTTATGGAATGCATATTCCAGTACATGAAAGGAGTTTAGATTGTTTTTATGACCCAGAAGGGTAGAGTTGGGCTTTGCAGAAGCTTAGAGAAGACTGAACTTAATCAAGGAGAACTGTGCCACTGGTCAATGAGCTCCCAGTTACTAGGCACTGGGCACCACTTTTCAGGAATATTGTGTAGGAAGCTTGGGCATCCAGAGGGTTTTGGTCTAGACTACCTTCCAGAACTCTTCCAATCCAGACTTCACCTCCAGAACACTACACCAGATATTTCTGAAAATTAGCTTGTTTGCATAGTTTTTGAAAATGGTGGTAAAGTACAAATAAACAAATTTTATCGTCTTAATCATTTTTCATGTACAACTCAGTAGATAAAGTACATTCACTTGCTGCGCAGCCGTCTCCACCATCCATCCGCAGAGCTCTTGTCATCTTGCAAAGCTGAAACTCTGTACTCACCAGGCACCATCCCCTCTCCTCTGCCCCAGCCCTCTCCATGCATGCTCCCTGGTAAGTTTTACTATGGACCATGGCCAGAATGGACTGGTACATGTGAGAGGGGAACTAGGAGTGCCAGGCAGGGTGCAAACTTGGGACACAGAGCTTTCTAGACTCCTGCCTAGCAGCCTGGCTGTGTGTTCCGACCCTCATTAAAGGAACCTCTATCTGGGTCCACGTTTTTCCAGACCAGGCCACGCCCTGTCAGGAAATCAAAGTAGCCAGTGGCCACCAGCACTTAGAGAAGAAAAGAAAGAGAAGGAATATTATAGAACAGAGTAGAAAATACACAGGAGCATTTCACAAAGGAAGGACATACATTTTTTTTGTTGTTAAACACATTTAGCATATGTGTGTGTGTGTGTGTGTGTGTGTGTGTGTTCGTATGAGTGTGTGTTTATTCTGTGTCAACATGGGAAATATATTTCTTATTTTCAGGTAGGGTTAAAAAAAAAGTCTGAAAAACCTATTGTAACCTAGAATCCAAACTTGAGAGTCATCTTCTCTGTCTCTCAACCAAAACCCTATCAGTCACAACTCTGAAATCTTTGATCAGCGACCTCTCTCCATCCTCATGGTCACTATCCTGGCAGAGGCCACCGTCATCTCGGCCCCAGGCTGGTTCCTCTGCCTCCAGACTTGTCATAACGGTCCATACTCTGTGCAGTAGTCAGTTTAGTCTTTCTAAAGTGTGCATGGAAGTCAATTCCACAGAAGTGGAGAGTGGAATGAATAGTGGTTACCAGAGGCTGGGGAGAGTGGAGAAAAGGTGTGTGTGTGGCGGCGGGTCACCAAGCTGCTGAGTTCCAGTTAGGTGAGAGCAAGAGGCTCTGGTGTGCTGCTTACTGCACAGTAGGGTGGTAACAGCTATGTACCATGTATCTAAAAAAGCTGGAAGAAAAGACACTGAATAATTTCACCAAAAAAAATGATAATGAGATAGCTATGTAGTGTTTTTGTTGTTGTTTGTTTCTGGGTTTTTGTTTGTTCATTTTGAGACAGTGTCTTGCTTTATAGTTCAGGCTGGCTCTGATCTTACTATGTATACCAGGATGGCCTCGAACTCATCGTGATCTTCCTGCCTCAGACTCCCAAGTGCTGGGATTACAAGTGAGGACCATCATGCCTGGCATAGCCTTTTAAATATTACTCAGTGTGTACATGTATCAGAATACATGGTACCTCATTATTTTGTAAAATACCTTTTTACGTATTAGTTTAAAAAATAAAACACATCTAGCCCTGACCAGCAGTTTCTGCTGTGCAGCTCCCTGACTTGGTGTATAAGCCCTGGCTCTTGCCAATCCTCACAACACAGAGCCCAGTCCTTTATAGTCATATTCAGAAGACACAGGTGGGCCTTCTGATGACCAGGCTGTCCTTTCTCCCCCCAGCTTGAGTGGGTAATGTGGTGGTAAGAGTGTGGCTTCCATGTCTTGGCTCCGGAGGACCTTTAGAACTGATCTTTCTGGGCCTCCGTTTCCCAATCTACAGCTGGAGATATAATGCCTCCTAGCCCCTAGAAGGGATGTGAGCTTCTCACTTAAGGAGGGCTTCTCACTTAACAAGTGGCTCATATGTGGCAGGCCCTGATTCAAGTGCCTGGGGTACCACTGTGAACCAGAAAAGCCCCTGAGTGAGAGGGATGTGAACAAGTCCTTCATGGATCTGAGAGTCAAGTTCCAGGTGTGGGAGCCGTTGCAATAAGATGCTGAGCCTGAGAACCCTCAATGGCTGAGTGTGGGAGTGGAGGTCCAGGAAGCCACGAGGGGCACATGTGTGGGGAGCCCATGCGGCCTGCTTGTGACTTCTACCCTGAGTGATGTGGGAGGTATGAAAAAATGTGAGCATAGAAGGGTCCTGAGCTGACTGGTGTGTTTTCAGTGTTGAGAATAGACTGAGGAGCCTCCTTCCTGGAGGCAGAAAGAGCTATTGGCAGAGCACAATGACCAGGAGAGAGGACAGAGGCTCGGCCCTGGGTGGCGGGCACAGAGAGGGACAGAAGCGGTTGGCTTTAGCACACTATGGAAGGTAGAGTTGACAGGGTGTCCTGTGGATTGGGTGTGTGGTGGGAAGAGTCAGCAGGGCTCCGAGAGTTTTGTACTGAACAGCCAGGGTGACTAGCTGGGTTAATACACGCGCAGCATTTGGTTTTGTGGTTGCTTTATGCTATGGTGTCTGTATCCTGACCATGCCGTCTCCTCTCTAGCCTCTGATCCTTCTCACAAGCTGTATCTCTTTTTACCTGGAACTCTCAGTCTCTCTCGGAGCCCCTTGCTCCTTTGCCTGGCAACTCCTATTCACCTTACAGAACACAGCTGAGAAAACACCACCTGCAGGAGCCCCTGCTGCCTGGGTCTCACTCCAGTGCCCTGTAAAAATAACATCTCTCTCCTATTCGCAAAAGACTTTTTAAAAAAGTGATTATTAGGCATTAGTACAAGTTCACTGACAGCAAGCAATGCCAACCTAACCGCATTTTTTCTTCTCTCATAAGAAAGATTATAGATGTGGGAAACAAAACTTTTTATGGCTTCCAAGGACATTGT